GCACCGCCGTCGCAGCGTGCTTTCCCTTTTTCTCAGAAAAGTAGGAAGTACTAGTAAGATCATGCAAGCAACGTTTCGTGATGTGTGTTTTGTGTGTTAATGTTTCCTTTTCCTTTGTTTTTCCTTTAACAGATGGGAAGTGACAGCCAGAAACGCATAATCCAATTAACTGGATTTAAAAAACGAGAGAAAGCGGCACTGCTCCAATGGCTGTTCAAACTGGACTGTGTTTTTTTAGATAATAAGGTATTGTTCACCAAAGTACCTGACGGTTAGAGTGGAAAGAAAAAATGCGAGCCTTAAAATAAAGGACTGTGTGGTACTTTAGAGTTGCGTATAAATAACTAAGAAAGTGAAACTGTTTCCAGTAATACAAGTGTGTTGTTTTGGTTTTGTCTTACTAGAAATACAGAAATTGTACACATCTTATAGCAAAAAGGCTGTGCAAGAGCGAAAAGTTCTTAGCTGCCTGTGCTGCAGGTGAGTAAAAGATTTGCTGTAAAATATTGTAGGATCATAACATAAGACTGGAAAGGACCCTTAAAAGGTTCCAAGTTACCTGTTTTCATTTCGTGAATGGACTGCCTTACAAACCCTCATTCTTCTTGTTCCATTAACCTCGATTTTTAACATAGTCTTATGCTCAAGTTCTGATTTACTTCTTTTTGGTTTGGATTTTTTCCTAAATTATATTCCTGCCATCTTCCTTTATTTGATCTGCATGTGTTCCCAAACAGAAAGCTTCGTTATCTATTAGTTAGATTGTGAAGTCATATCCAAATTATACAGGCAATTAAAAATGGATCGCTTGAAAAGGGGGCAGAGAGAGTATCGCACCTGTAGTCAGCATGGATTTTTGACACCAAATTCACACCCAACATTCACTGGTAAAGGTCATTGTCTGTAAGTTCCTGTTTACTCAGCAAGACAAAATCGCAGGCTTTTGCCATTCTCACACAAGCTTCTGGTCTTTCCTCTTGCTTTTCTTTTACCTAAGGCCTGATGCTGAAATCCCATATGTAAGCAACTAAAATGCTTTTAGAATGAGAATTCTGTATTTTAAGATTCTTTTATGGAGACATTACCTAGGAGGATTTTAAGGTGAGTTTAGAAAATCTTGTGGAGTTATGAGATTTCACAATACCGATCTGTTAACTGGTTAAACGTGATCTTTATTTTCCCTATATGGTATTATACCAAAAGCAATTTTTAGGATGGATAATCTTAAATTTAAGAGATAACAGACAGAAATAACTGAGCGTAGATTTGGGTTTAAAGATCTAAGTACATTTCTTGATTTTGTATTTGTACTTAACTTACCATAATAGCAGGCATTTTCTGTCATCTGTCGCTGCTAGAATTTGGGGGGGGGGGGGGGGGGGGGGGTGGAGTGTACGGATGATTCCTTGTAATAATTGCACTCTAATGAAACAGGAAGCAGACCAAAAGTTTCCATGAGGGAAACAGTATTAAAATGCAGATAGATTTGTGGCGTAGCACTTAATTTTAACTATTATAAACCTTTGCATTAATGTTATATTTTGGGGATTTAAAACATCTGGAGACATTTTCTTGAACTGAGCGAAACAATGTATGTAATATCCAAGTGGCAATGCAAAAAGGTGTCATGTTTCTATACTTGCAAATTTTCCCCAATACCATCTAGTACTTTTTAATCCTGGAAGAGGTGCTATTTTTGCATAGTCATTGCTCTTGCCCTTGATAGCAAAGAGAGTGTTTTCATTCCTACTGCAGTTTTTCCCAATAAGTATAAAAGATTATGTTTAAACCCATTTAGAACTCCCTAGAGCTGAACAGAAATACTAACAAGGATGCCAGTCATCATGGACTTCCTAGCTGACAGAAGTTTTGAGATGGAAACTTTGAAATGAAAGTGATTTTAACATACAGGTTGTGCACAGCATACCTTTTCCAGTCATAAGTCTACTGGTACCTGTGCTAGGTTATGTAGAAGTACCATCTGTGCTCCTGCACTGAGATGTTTTGCCAGTCAACCCTGCTGTTCTGTGAAGCCAATTAGGTTCACACAATTCAAGTCAATTTCTCTTACAGTATCTTCTGTAGATAGTGTTTCAATACAGGAGCAGGGTACTAACCACGGCTCTTGACCTGAACCTGTAAGAAGAGAGAGACAGAGAAAAAGGGGAAGATCATTACATACAGTATCAAAAGCATACATGCGGAAGATGAAAGAGGAGAGGCGGAGGAGGTGGAGCCAAGGGATGAGAGAAAAGGATGTGAAAAGAAGAAAGGGGGAAGACAAAAGTCTAAAACCCTGTCCCCCTAATATTGGTATTCACTACACTCGCAGTGCAAAGTAATGTTAAGAAGACATAAAAGAAACAGCTTGCATGCTAAAACCTTCATTCCTCTTTTTAATCATGGGTGGTAAAAGATTTCTTCAATTTACTACATTTTAGTACATTTGTAAAAGTGTCAAATGATATTAAAAATAAAGGTTTAAGCAAGGTTCTGTGGAATTCATAAGAACAAAATCTGGGAAGCTGAAAAATTCCATTTGCACATTTTTGAGGAGACAGGCAAGTATTTTATCTAGGAAAGGAAAAAAGGTACTTCATTGTTAAAATAATAATTTTCAGTGGCATTGTGAGATTTCTGATTTTAAAGTGTGAAGAGGAGAACTCTTGCAGTAGGAAGAAGTTTTTAAAATGGTACTTAGAATTCCAGCTTCTATTTGTACAAGAAAGGTTGAAGTTAATTTTGTATCAGATCTTCAGTTGATTGCCATTTGTCTGCACAAAAAATCTTTTGTGGTTGACAGTTCGTTTGCTTTTTAGGAAAGTGGATACTAACTAAGGAGTACATAATTAATAGTGCCGAAAGTGGCAGATGGCTTGATGAAACAACGTACGAATGGGGATATGAAATTGAAAAAGACACCCATTATTCACCTCAAATGCAATCTGCACCTAAAAGATGGCGTGAAGAACTGACACACTCTGGTGCTCCAGGGGCCTTCCACAGATGGAAAGTTGTCCTCCCTCTTAAGGAAGGTGATAAACGAATGGCGTCTATTAGAAGGTAGGAGGATATGTCTTGAAGCTTAAATAATGAATGATGGAACACTTACTGTATAGTTGAACACATTTTTGTTCTTCCAGTTAATTTGGTCCATAACAACCTCCAGCTCTTTAACCTCTGAATTGTTTTCATTAATATACTTAATATACTTTTTTATAATAAAATGACTTTAAATCTTTAACATCACTGCTTTTCTTGCTTTCTTTTAGTATAGTGTCAAAAATAATGCACATTCTTTTATGTTTGCAGCTTAAGTAAACTGCTTACAGAAACTTCATGAGGCAAGATACATAGGCTTACCTTTTTTATGCGTAATTGTTTATTTTGTGTGGATATTACATTCAAATGGTAGCTGGAACAGGATATGTTATTTCACTTGGCTGGGTAACCTGAGCCAGCTGTGAACTGTGTCTTATGGATCTGGGCCACACTGTGACTGACCTGATCGTTTTTTGCGTCACATCTATGCAACAGCTTCTTGTAGTTCTGAAGACCTAATTTGTGCTGTAACAGATGTTTCTGACATGATGTAAATACAGATAGTTCAGAAGGGAAAGGACAAATGTATAAATGAAAAGCAGAAAAAAGGAAAACAACTCAAGTGCAAGAATTCTGGGACTACTTCCCTGCCCCCCCCCGCCCCCCCAGTTCCTACACATTTGGATTCTGTGGTTTAAATACTACATTTAAGTGCAAACAGAGCATTTTCATTAACATTTGCTTATGGTACAGTAAAAGCAAACATCCCCTGACACTGTTTTAGAGCTTTATGTTCATTGCAGTAGCAGATACTGTCCTACTCTCCTTCTCTGTTGAAATCCCAGTTAGTTAGGAGGAGTACTCAGGTCCAGGCATGCCACAGATGCACAGGCAGGAAGGCAAGTGCAGTTTGTCTGGTTGATGATGGTGCAGTGCAGAATGGTGCATCGCAGAATGCCTGTCTGTCTGCGGTTCCTAAAGACAAAGTGAGGTGTAGCTGAAGTTGCCATCTTCTGTTTTTGCCAACTGAAGACGTTAGAAGTATGCTATTTTCTTGGCTGAGTGGGAGAGTTTACGATGTGCTGTCTTGCAGAAAGGTGCACTCATCCTGCTACACTTGTGAAAAATGCTGTTTCTTTTTCTGTAAAAACTGTTTATCCATATTGTCACGATAAAAGTATTGAAATGCTGTCTTGCACAGCTCTCTTGCAATAGAAATAACCTTTAACAGGAGCTACATCAACAACACAGGTGAACAGGCAGTGTTGTGGAAGGAATCTCTTTTTCCACACTGTTTCCTGTACACCAACATAGGGATCCTTTTAGTCAGTCAGAAAACACTGAAAGATAGATAATTTTTGTCTCCAGTGAGTACTGTCTTCAGTCATAAAGGTCACTGTAGCTTTGGGGAAAGATTGTTTTTTGTTTTGTTTTTTTTTTTCTCTAATATTTACAACACTACCCTTTTCCCCCCCTTTCTATGCTTTTTCTGCCTTTAGTGCCTAACTGTTGGGTGGCTAAGTGTGTGAGACCAGCATCATTTTATTTTTACATACCTGCATTATGAAAAATAAAACATATATCCAGCATCTCAAGAGACCTTACTTCTTCCACCATTTTTTTGTCTGGTATCTTTTCTAAAAGATAGGAATAGTTGCAGCAGTACAACTCTGGAAATTACCCCTGGGGAAACTCTTACACATAATGGTGTCCCAAAGACAAACAACTCTGGTTTTTTTTTTTTTTTTCTGGACAGCACCAAATCCTGTAAATAACTCCAAAATGCAGTCAAAAAGCATATTTTCATAATGCAAATATGTTACAGTTCAGAAAAGCAGTGTTCCATTTTTGGTTAACCACTTAATTTATCATAAAACTGAATTGAAAGACCATCATCATTGTGAGGGACATAATGCAATAAATTATAGCTGCTGTCACCAAATTTCATCTTTGAAAAAATGCACAGGTAAAGCTTTCTATCAGATATGTAGGAGGTGTACTTTGGTTTTAATTAATAGCGTTAAATTGTGAAGAGAAGAATGTCTTGTTAAGTGGGTTCTTTCCTTTTCTGAAGGCTGTTAAGCATCCTTTTATTCTAATGAAGGTTGGGCAGTGTCATACATCTAGAACCGTTATTCTCCTGCATGTATAGTTCGTGAATGATAAGGTAGCTTTAGGTGGTGATAATGTAATGCAGTAAATACATCTTTCCAAATGCATTTTTTTTAGAGTTCTTCAAGCTGGAAAGGCAACCATATGTTCATCTCAAAATGCGGAGTGCAATATAACTCATATATTCATCAATAATAAAGTTTTTCCTATGCAAAACAAAAAATGTCTCTCTGAAGCTCGGTACTACCCTTTGCAATATCTAGGAGATTACCTTTTTGAGGTAAGTAAATTAAAAAACATATCTAAAATTAGTTTTTCATTGTCATTTTTAACAATTTATGTCAGTTTTACTGATTACTGTAAATAATGTGGCATTAATAATAGAGAGGAGTATGATCAGTTTGAACGTTTTGTGATTTGATTAAAAGTAATACAACTTTCTGATTCTGGGACCTCTGCAAGAGAGAGGAAGTTTATGAATGTATATAAATACCTGAAGGGAGGGTGCAAAGACAGAGCCAGGCTGTTTTCAGTGGTGCCCTGTGATAGGGCAAGAGGCAATGGGCATAAACTGAAGCACAGCAGGAGGTTCTGTCTGAAAGCCAGGAAACACTTTTTTTTTTTTTTACTGTGAGGGTGATGGTGCACTGGAACAGGTTGCCTGAAGAGGCTGTGGAGTCTTCCACCATCTGTGCATGGTCCTGGGCAGCTGGCTCTAGGTGGCCCTCCTTGGGCTGTGGAGGTTTGGATCAAGTGTCTTCCAGAGATCCCTTCCAACTTCAACCACTCTGTGGTTCTGTAATAGAAAAAATGGCTTTCCAAAAGCAGTATTTTGTTTCAGAGCAGAAGAAATAACACCAAGGAAGCATACATGATTTCTTCTCCCTCTTCAGGTTCTTCCTTGGCTCTTGCTTTGTGCTACTATTACTGGAAAAACTAATTAGACTTCAGGAGGAAGTTCTAGTGTAGATGACCATCAATTAAACAGTTATTCACAAAATACCAAGGAAAAAATACTATTTTTCATTTATGTTTTCTTCATTTGGTAAGGGTTTCTAATGTGTGTATGTGCCTATCTGTCTAGCTATGTATGTGAATATATATATTTTTTACTGGGTTTGGCATACACCATTAGGCTGTATTGTAACGGTATCTTCATGCTTCCAGATCAATGTAATAACTTATTTTGTCAACTGACCTCAATTATTCTACCTTTTTTTCATAATGTTGTAGATAGACAATGGTAAAACAGTCTCTAGATTATTTTGTTAAAATTCAGATTCTTAACTCAAAATCAGTTTGCTAGCTGTCCTTCATGGCTGAGAAGAACTGGTGGTTGCAATGTGAATTTTGTGTGGGAACGGTATACTAGGCAGAGGAAACTCTCTCTGACTATTTTTGTGCTGTGAATCTAATGTAAGGCAGTCACTTATATTCCCTTTTCACTCAATGCACTGAGCTTGATGCTGCAAGAATTGTAATTTCCTGAAATAGTTGTATGAACTGCTATCTGAGCGTACCTTTAAATCTCCTTTACTGTAGAATGATCATTCCGAACTTGTAGACAAAATTAAATAAAATTAATTTAAGCTAAAGGATTCTGTAAGCAACCAGCAACCCTATGAGAATAGATTAGCATGCCAAGAAGACTTGTTAAGAATGTCTCATATAGCAACAGTTTAGGTACTGTAATGCTTCTCCATTTGCAGAGCTCTGATCTGTGGAGTCAGAAGGGACATAATGTCAGCATTTCAGAAAGTGTTAATGAGTCCTTACAAATCAAATCACATGATGCTCACATGTGCAAAGACTAGATTCAACTTTGTTTCTTTCCATGTTAGAAAACCTGTCACCATTTATGACAAAACTTCTTTCTCTTTTACTAGTCAAAAGTGTTAAATTCTTGAGAATGCAAGCTCTGTATTTCTTGATCGGTGGAAGAGGTTTCTCCAAAATCCCTGTAGCAGCTTTCTTCTGTTAACTAAATTAGAGCATGAGACAGTGCATCATCAGATCCACTAAGAAGTGAGGACCTGGATGGACTGTATGTGAAGAGAGAAGCCATGCTAAAAGTCATCATTCCAGAGAGACAGAGTGTTTTGTTGGAATGGCTAAGCCAGATGAGGCATCCAGGGCAATATCAAATGGTTCAGAGAGTTAGGTTTACTGCATCTCCAAAATTGGATCAGGAGTTAAAGTTATAGTGATTTGAAAGATAAGTCAGAACAAGAAAAGCAGCCTGTTTCACCTTTCTGTCTGAACTGTGAGGGGACATGTCACTGGTGGATTTTCTTGTATGTGTGGAATTCACTAGGACTACAATTCCGCCCCCCCCTTAGAGAGAGAGGAGGGAGTGGGGGGAGAGAGAGATGCCTCATGATTCATAGTTACTTGCTGACCAGATGCACTATTCAGAACTTCTTAGCATTCTAACCTGGAACTACTCAAAGACCTAAGAAGATTCCTTTAGTCTGGTAGTTCCTCACGCCTATAGGAAGATTTTAGTCAACTGCTAATTGAAAATACTAGCTTTGCAAGCAAGTAGGAGCTAAAACTGTGTTTGTTACTAGGAATAACCTACTTTTGATTTGAAAATCCTTTGGATTCTGCAGGTCAAAGCATATACTTTGCTTTTTGTGTTTTAATGAGCAGTAAAGCTGTTACAAAGGATAAGAAGAGGGTTGAAAGGTCTTAATGTTTACACCCTGAATAAAACATACATCCACATGGGATCTTGGTCTAGTGCTTACTCTCTTAATGAAACTTATTCAGGGAAACTGCTCTCTATTACACCTTTCAGCTAAGATAGACATTTACATTTAATAGAGGAATGAGTGTCAAGTTTTATGGCTACCTCACCTTTTATTGATCTCTATGAGAATAAAGTGTTTCTTGCTATGCACCCTGAATTCCTCCCAGGTGTGATAACAGGTTTCCATTTTAACCAGTCCATTAACTTGCATGTATCTTTTTTTTCTTAGATTTCATTAAAGTAACTCACCTCAGAGGCCAAGAGAGCATTAGCTTTCTATTTAAATGCATCTAAAGAACTCAGAAAACTGCCAAGACTCCTAGTCTCTTAAAAGGAAAAGAATAAAACATAGGCAATCGAATCACACCACTTGTCCAAATGTATTAGGCTTTATCAAAGAATGTTATGGACATGCTCTTTTCTCTCCCTCCCAGAAGTACTTGGCATATAATTCATTACAACGTTCCAACTTTGTAAATTTGTAGTCCTGCTGTTTGACTGCTACTTCTAGCAAAAATAAATATCCCCCTTCCTCCCCTAAACACCCACATATATGTCCAGATGCTGAATTCAGTAAAACAGTATTATATTCTTTTCTTCAGTGGAACTGCACTGACATTCAGACTATTCTTGCTGTGATTTTTTTCTGAACCAAGTCTTTGCTTCATCTTTATCTTTCAGTATCTGTTCTTATAATCTCAACCTCATAACTCTACTGTTAAAATACTCTGTGGGGTTGTCATTAATGATTTCATCCTGCAAAGTGTCAAATGTATTGGTTCAAGATATTAAAACACATGCCTGATTTTAGGGAACTAGTCTCATATTTAAATTTAAACAGAGACTTTAAATGCTTGGTTGGAGGTATGCTGGAATTAATAAAATTTTGCCAAGATGTTACTATAAATTGTTTGAATATAAGTATTTTTATAAGCATGTTGAAAATAATGTGTAGAAAGTGCCACAAGAAGTATAGACTAGTTAATGCATCAGAGTTCAGTTATCCCTGGCTCATCAAAAGCTATTTAGAGGTCTTTTCAAGTTACCAAAAATACTGAACTCTTCTGTAATGTGCAAGAAACTCAGTATTCATTTAGAAATGTAGTTATGGATGTACCAAATACTTCTGGTTTGAATTCTACATCTAAGGGAAAATCTGAAAACCGGATGAAACGTGCAGTGTCTGACACTTTATCTTGAAAACTTAGAGGTATAAACTGTTCATGGTTACATCTTAACATTGCATGCACTAGTGTGTTTTTTTGCTTACCGTTACTTCCCATATTTGCCACACTTGATTTACCCATCAGATTTAGTTGTTTGAATTAGAAGGTAAACTACCCCAAGCCTTCCACACCTTTTCCCAATACAAAATGGCCGTCAGTACTGTGATCAAGGGGAACACTTCACCTGTATCTACATTCTTAACTCATTGCACTGCAGGAGGCTGGTTTTGTATTATGTGTATTTGTCTAAACCAAAGATGTTGTTTTATTCTTAGTCTGTGTATCTTTGATGAAAAGCATACATTGAAACTCTTACTGACATGTCTTGTTCTCATATCCTGAAATACTTTTAAGGTTTTTTTGTAGTTACTTTTTACTAACACAAATTGTCTTGTAGCTTCGCTGAGAGTCTTTTCAGAATGAGTTGGAAACCGGTTTGAAAAATACTTCCTCATTCCCTGTGCTGAAGAAATAGCTGGAAACAATAGGTGGATTTAGAGAATAGGTTACAAAAAAAGAAAGAACTGTTTGAATTCTAAATTACTAGTTTAGTTCAGGCTTATAGACAAGAACTGAAAAGATTTCATGGTCATAGTCAAATTGATGAAAAAATGTCTTAAAAAATCCTTACTACATTTTTGACTAATTGAAAAGGTGTGGGCTTTGGTTTTAGTTTTTGAAAAGTCCAAAGAGAGAATCCATTATAGAAACACAGTTCTTGTTTCAGCCACAGGGATCGGGTCAGAGTTAAAGTCAGTTAGGAAAGTAATTATGGAGAAGCTTGCACTGATAATTCCTATGCTGTAGCTTCCTACAACATCAGTGGTCTGTTTCTAAACCGCCAGCTGTTTCTGGCACATAATGTAGACCCTTGAACAATTATATAAGCATGCATATGCACACAAGGGTTTATGATAGAATATACAGAAAGACTTAGCACATGAAAGCTGTTTTAGAGAATTAGCTTAGAAACTAAAAAAAAGTATTTTTTTGCTCTGCACAGAATGAAATACAAAATACTGAAGATATTCAAATGAACCATTTACTGGCACAACAAACTGACCAAATCATGTCTAAAATGCAGCTTGCTGAAATGAAAAATGCTGTTATAAAACATATGTATTTTGCTTCGGTAAGTAACAATCAGTTAATGCTTTCTTAGCAGAAAATGTAGAATGTGTGTTACTAGATTTGTCTTTCATTGTAGTACTGAGCTAGTAAAGTAGATATTTCAACATCTTTTGAAGTAGTAATAATGCATTTTAACCTGCAATGTTTAATAATCCCATATTTACTACATCTATCATTAGCTAAAATATAATTTAGTAGTGGTAATTGGTAGGCATGGGTGTGTGGAAGACATCGTGGACTACTTGAAATCTTGGTATAATATATAAGGGAAGTAGTAGCTAATATTGTTTGACAAAATGTCATTTGATTACAGTCTTTCTAGGACTTTCCTGTTATCTAGCTGAATTACACTAGCACATTTTTAAAACTAACCATATCCTAGAGCAAGTGCTTTGTTGATTCATATCAGTGTTTTTATTACAAGTAAAAATAGAGCTAAATGCACTCCTTTGTTTTAATAATGTCACGTATCTAATCCTGATAAACGTGCTACATTAGAAGTTAAAACCATTATTTCATATCTAGAAAAAACAATTACTTTGAGTTAGGATATATTATCTCTGTAAGTTACAGTGATGCAGCTGGTGGTGTGTAAGTATTTTTGTAGGACCTTGCTTACATGAAGCACTGTATGATTTTGTAACTGCAAAATCAGGTCCTCTATGTGTGTTAATATAAGTTCATAGTAGCAAAAGAATTAGAATTTTTAAGTCCTCAGTGTACACAAAGTTTAAACATGAGATTAACGAATAAAAGTCTCATGCTGCTTAAATCTATACACCTTCAAATGCTACATCTTTTATCAGTGATATTTTATCATGACTATGCCCTCCAGACCTTTGAAAAATAACTGCGCCTTTGACTTTTCATGTATACTTCACACAACAAGTGCAGTTCTTATCAGTTTATCTTTCCCTCAGACTGTTACGTGGTTGTGTGCAGATGGAGTAATCAATCCTAAAGTCAATCTCTCCTAAAAGACTTTTTTGGTAACATGTATGCGTAAGATTGTAACACTAGGCCATAACTAAATATAGCAATAATAGTAATACATTTTTGCACCTACTGCTGTATCTTCACATTATAGGTAACATGCAAGAGGAATCCAAAGTTTGCAATTTTCTATAGAAAAACTGAAAACACTTTATTTTTTAATGTGGTTAATTGGACCAAAACTAGTGAAACTGTCCTAACATAGCGACCGCATAAACAAGGAGCAGAGAACAGGAAAAATGGGGAGAGAAATTACCCATGGTATTTTTCTTTTAGGTCACTAGTCCTCAATTTCATAATTTTGCCATCCAAATATTAAAAAGAGTAATACAAATAGATTGCTGTTGAATGTTTTTCTTAACTGTGTTTAAAAAAGGCTGCCATTTTGGGGTTTTTTATACAGTATTTATTGAATATGTTTATTGGTATCCAGAGTGCTGGTTGACTTTATTCTGTTTTACAGGCTGTTAAGCACAGGCTTGCTCAAAAAGGCCAGCTGATTAAATGCAATCCAGAGGTAAGGATTGTCACAAAGACAGCATGTTGCATATATGGAATTTTATTATGTAGTTAGGCAAACATACTTTCATTGTGAAATTAGTGATCAAAGAAACAAAAATATTTATGTTATCCAAAACACTAATAAAATTATTGAAGAGTGAAGAGCATCATTGGAATACTGTTGAATTTTGTTCGTTCTTACAGTGCTTTCAGTACTGTCCCCTTTATTACAAAGAAACTCTTTAATCCTGCTGGTTAAGAGAAGTTTACCTGTTAATGTTAGAATAAAAGAAGCGAAGATGCCCTAATGTGATTTAGAGCATCTTAAATTATTCAAGCGCTGTATTTATGCAGTAGCAATAAAGACAAAGTATACGCAACTTCTTGCATTGCTCATGTGTTTTTCTAGTAGGGACAGACTTTAGCTAAAGGTTGTCTCACTGTAGAAAGAAAGAGTAGTTGTTCTTACAGCACAAGCCTTAAACATCATCATGCAGGTTTCAGAGTGTACTGAAGCACAGACTGCAAGTAGAATACATTATGTTTTCCAGTTCTGTTTTCATAATTACTTGGACTTAATTTCCTTTTTTTGTGCTATTTAGTTAATTTGTCTTTTTTTCCCCATTAAGTCAAATACATGCCATAAATCAGGTATGGTTTTATTAAGTCTTTGTTATATCTTAAGTAAATAAATACTTTCAAAATTTTCCCTTTTCTATCTATAATACTAAGAACAAATCTTTAAATAATGTTGAAACATTACCTCTTAGTACTTAAAAAGCGTTATACATAGTAGCAGTAAGCTACTGTACTTTATATGGTAACTTGTGTTATTTAAAAGTTAAAATGGGAAACACTTAAAGAATATCTATTAGCTTCCTGTATCTCTCAGTAGCTGAAGATTTGGTATCTTCATGAGCTGTACTACATAAATAGTTACTTGATATAAGTAACCTATAAATGAGGTCCCAGTCTGACAAAATGAGCTCTCGGACTTCACAGAAATCTCTTTTTACTTGATTTCTTTCTGTTGACACAGTAAGGAAGGGAGGAGAAAAACATTTTAAAACACAAGCACTAAAATGACTTTGTCGTTGTCCAACACTACCATTAATGTGCAAAATGCTGTGTGCATTTCTGTTACTGAACAGATTTGCATTGAAATTTAATGCTAGTGTTTAGTTTATTGAGTTTATGGAAAAAAAACCTTCAGCTTTCTTAACACGTGTAAGCTGAAATTGTTATTCTGTACTCTTAATAATTATAATTTTCTGTTTGGAAATTTTAAGCCTAATTCTAATACTTTTCTTATGCACGACCTGCAACTGTCTTTTATTGCTTTGTGGAATATCCATTGCTAGCCTTTGCATCTGATATGGGACTTTTATGGGCAGTATATTTATGGCTTTTAAAAACAGCACCAATAAACATTTCCAATAACACTAGTGAAGTAAAATAACACCTGTGAACTAAATTAGCAGACTAGAACTACATACTATATCCAGTCATCTCAGTTTGCATATTCTAGGAAGGCTTAACTCAGGTAAGTGTTCTGTTATCTGTCATCTTCCCTAAAATATTTATTTCTCTTTTGTCAGCTTCTCTTCCACATTATGCTCAATAGAACGTAACTTACTGTCTGTGGACCTTCATTTTTCATTTGCTTCTGTTCAAGAGTTGTAATGGTTGTACCAGCAGTGCTTCACAAGAAGCTGCTAGTTCCTCATCAGCTGGAAGGCAAGCCCGCACAGCTTTGTACAGCTTGCTGAATATTAAGGCACTACAAAAGGCATCTCCTGATACTGAAAAAAGTTCATCAACTCAGTTTTCTGTCACCCTTCCTTACTCCTTACAAATATGCTGAAAAGCGGTTCTCCACTGCCTCCTTATGTTGAATGTAATGCAAAAGGCCTCACGCTCTCCCAAAACAGCTTTGTTTCAGTGTACTTTCCAGATAATGCATTGATGTTGTTGTTTCTTCTAGTACCAGTATTTTCAAGAGATACAAGTTTCAATCACAATATAAGAAGGCGGATACTGGTACGATCACCAGATGAGGGCCAGTAGTAACATGCTTGCAAATGCACAATATACTGAGTCAACTTCACACGTTGAAGTTGAATCCAGGCGACAGAGAAGTTGTTCTTTGACTACCATTAAAAAGTTTATGATTGCTCTTAGATGTGCTGTTTGCATGTAATTAACGTTACAAAAGTATGAATGCAACCATTATTTCCAAAGGAATAATGTGAAGATTTTAATATTGTGTGTATGAATGAGAAAACTGAAATAAATGTGAGTTGCAAACACCAGATGCACAAAGACTTGAATAAGAGAAAATTGTCCAGATAAGTGGCTTTATTTATTGTTAATGTAGCAATGGCATACATTAGGAATCTGAGAAATTAAACATTTGCAGAGAAACTAAATATCTAATGCTAAGGTGGAGCTCATTCACTGAGACTTTAGCTGTGATTTAACTATGATTATAATTTCTTTCAGAAGTTTTTTCAGGTTTGACCTGGGGTCCTAATGATTGCAGTTTATTACTGAAACAGTTTTGGAAACTGTCTCGCTAATAGCAGTGTACTCTGTTGACCTCAAAGCCACAATCAGACTCAAAGTCTGTGTTAATTTAAATTTTAAACTAATTTTAAAACAATTGGTAGGATGTCTTAAGTAGCTTTATCTAATGTATGTTAGGAGCCATTTTTTTTTGGCAGACATCATAAAGTCTACCAGGGACTAAAGCAACAATAAATTTATGTAACTGTTTAATTCCTAGCAGTCCAATCAGTGATCCTCCTGACGCTGCTTCTCGCAGTTGTGACTCCCTATCCCAGTTTCTTTGAGTTTACCAGAGCCTCAGGCTGTGTGGTCAAACAAAATAGCTCGATTGCAAAACAGAACTTATGAGGCAGAGGAAAGCTTCAATTAGTGTTATGGTTGCAACTGGTTTGTGCATCTTAGCTTTGGCTTGAACCTGGACTAGAGGGAAGATGTAAATAACAATGTAGCTGAGATCCTCAGTAGCTCTTCTTTTGTACCATTAATCTGTGGAAATAAAGGTTTGGAAAGCTGAGAGTACAGACAATAACAGGGAAATTGCAGGGCAGATACAGCATTTAATGAAAGCCATTAGATCCTTCTGGGTCCTCTGAAAGCTTGCAAAGTTAAGTGTTTTGCTGTCATGAGTGGCAGAGAATAAGAGGGAAGCCCTGTGCCATTAAGAAGATCTTCAGAGCTTTGAAATCCACTGGGATCAATACCTGTACTATCTGTAGCATTAGCTGCTTCTCTGACATGCTATATGGCAATAGGAGAACTAGGGAGATAAAACATGGTTTATTGTTTTATAATGTGTACTCATAAATGATGTGTTTCATGATTTTACATTTTTCTCTTAATTTTTTTAGCTGTTCAGTGGTACTAATTATCTTACTGCTCCAGCCATATACTGTGGGATGTACTCTGCACTTTTGGAAATATTAACACTCCTTTGTGTACCTTTCCAGACTAAATTATAGAGAAGTTATTGAGTGTATGGATTATAATTTGTTTTTTAAAAGGGTAGATGTATTCATACCTTCTAAGAAGAGAAGCACATTTTGAAACCTAATATCTTTTCAATGAACACCTAGTTCAGTAAGGGTGAAGGCCTTTCTAGATGACGGCCGCTTATTGGGTCAGGCAATAAGTAATATTTATAGTTTAATTTATTATCTTCTCCCTGTTTCATTATATTACCAACACTTTACTTAGAGATTTGCTGTTAGTTCTTGTAAGTTTGGGGGTTTTTTTTATTAAGCTGTTCTTTTACTTACAAAGATATCTCATTCCTAGGTTAAAAGTACTGACCTGTCCAGAGGCACGTGGTATATGCTTGAAGGATTAGTGGAAGAGTATTTATTTCCTGATGTAATCACAGAACTTGCTGCTGGTCAAAAGTACTCTACACCTCCCGTGCAACTTCTTCATTCTCTTCTAGAATATGTCCTGTTGGTGAGAGATGAAGACTAAAGTATTATAAATATTAAAGCAAGAAATGGAAGTATTATGATCTTTGCTTCTGACATTGTATTTACTGTTTTTTAGTGATGTATTCACCTTTCACTTTGTGATCATCAATGTGTTTGTGTTAAAAAGGGAAGAGCTTAATACTTAAGGCTTTTTAAAAATTACTATTTATTTACAACCTGTATGAATGTAGTGCTCTAAATATCATGGAATAATTGGCCCAGAATTTTTTTTGTTGCTTTTAAAGTTTTTTTTTTACCTAGCAGGCCACAGATAGAGAGCTCAATTGAGAAGAAGGTTTGTTCTAAGCAGTGATGCATTCAGCTGGAATATCACCCTAGAGCAAACTCTCCCTGTTTCCTTCCCTTTTTTTTTTTTTTTTTTTGTAAACTCTGAATTTTGCTGCTTGTAGTTATGCATTAAATTGCATGTTACCTCACTGATTAAATTCGGTCACTTGGGATTGTAGGGAATAAAGAAAATACATAAACTCTTAGTGACTATGGATCTTTAGCCACTATGGAGCCAATATTATCTTCTCATTTTATTACAGGGAAATACTGATGCAATATTTTATGCTAAACTTCATCACATTTTGTACCTTGCTCTCCAACGTGATCCTCCTTGGAAGTCCCCATGTATGTTAAAGTATTATTTGGATCTTCTTCAGTGTCCTAGCTGTAAGAAAGGCACATGGTCCTTGATAGAGATGCTTGTAAGGTAAGAGAGTTTAATGAGGTGTTGGATGCAGTAGTTGTTTTGTTACTCCACACTCAGGCACAGGGGAGGAATTCTATTGTATCAAAGTCACATTTTCAGCAGAACAAATTAACTGTATGTGAAGGTCTAGAATTGTAACTCGGATTAGGGCCTTTCACTTTATGTTTCAGTAAGTGTTAGCTCACAGGCGGGGGGGGGGTTGAAAGGAAAACAATGTACATTTTCTTGTCCTCCTTCCTTTTCTAAAAATTTTTTATTTTATTTTTTAAGTTTTCCACGGATTATAATAATATATGTATTACTGGTGTTCTGGTGTGTATGTGTATATATAGATATACAACACACATACATAACTGCAGTTGCAAAGCTAATTCCAGTCTTATCTTATCAAACATGAATCTTCATGTTGTATTTTGGTTTTAATCATAAACTTTACCATCTTGTTCAGGAAGTCTGATTATATCCTATACATCTACAAATACAAGACTCAGTACGTAGGAGCTGTTTGGGTAGTTAGTCTATGCTTTAGCTTGAGAACTCATTTGTTGTAATTTACATCAATAGAAATTTAATTCTTCCATTCATTTGGAAGAGAAACTGTGCCTCTTCTTAGTACTGTCTTAAAATCTTAAGTAACATTTAAATACTTTGATACAACTGTGATTACAGATATATGAATATGTATGATTGTAAGCATATCTATAGTCTTGAAGGGCATTGAATCACTGTACTTGAATCACTGTAACTGGACATTTAATAGTTTTTATTAGGCACATGTCACATGGAATGGAAGAGAATTTATCTTTTAGGTAAAGTATTTTATCTTGTAGTACCTAGTGGCAGAATGTGAGTACCCAGAAGCTGTATAGCTGGTGGTTCCAGTAATTCAAAATTCTAGCCAAGAAAATGTGTTCACACTTTACTTCAAAATTATCTCCATCATGTTAGACAATCATTAGACTTGATCACAAACTAGTCCTGTCAAATAGTATGTGCAAACAGTTAACTGAACTAAGGTTTGTAGCATGTTACAATGGCTATAAAATACTACAAGACTACCTTGTAATTACAGGATTTTAAAGTACTTCTGTTAAATTCAGTAATTATCCAGTACCTCAAGTAGAGACAAAAAAATTAAATACGGTTAAATTACTTAGTTTACACTATAATACAAACTCTTCATCTACAACACAAAGCCCCAGTCACAAATGTTAATTTTTTTTGGAAAATACAGCGTTAAAACCAGAAGGATAGTCTTTATAATGATGAATATTGCTGGGAAGCAAAGTATTTCCTTATCAAAATTGTCAGAAGTCAAAGCCAACATTTTTGCTGGTAGATCAGACTATGATTTCTGTCATACAAATGGATTTTTTGGTGTTTATTTTTCAGGTCTTGCCTTTATTGCAAAACCATTTGTCATGCAGTCCCAGTTTCAGGGAGAAGAGATGAACAGAGGATAGTTCACAAAACATTATTGAAGTTTTTCTTTGATTTAGTAAAAGCTGAAGTAGAGTTTCTGACAAAAAGGTGGGTTTGATAGGATAATACTTTGTTACTTTTTCACAATTTCACATGCATTTCTGTATCTACAGCAGGTTGTATTCTGACTTTTGTATGTCCCTAATAAGCTAATGTTCCACAGAGATGGCAGTTTATCATTTCCTTTTATATTTCTCAATTCTTACTTTCTTTATTCTAATTTGTATAGGGTTTTTTCTAATCATGTTTTAAGGCCTCTTGACTTTTCCCAGCCTATTATTTCACTATATTACAAGTGTCAGTAAGCATTTAATTTTGCTCATGAAGTTGTATTTTTAGCTTTGCAATGCTTCAGTATTCATTCTTTAAGGTAGACAAGCAGCATTTTGAACCTACTGATTGATTTTTTTTTTAATTCAATTAACTGTTATCTTTTGCTAGAGAGGCAATTATCTTTCCTTAGTTTATGAAGTATAAAAAAGTCTCAGTTTTTCTCTGCCTTTATATAGTAAAGGCAGCCTTTACTTTATGTAATATTAGCACAATATTAGAATTCCTTCAGTTTGACTGTAATAGTCATCATTATTTTACTTATTATTCATCAGAAATTGTGTCTGATCTTTCCATACTTAAAAATTGCCAAACCTGTGTGTGTTTTGACAGAAGACAAGGTTTCTGTCTGGTAACTATAGTAATCAAAGTGGCATAAAGATTTAGGTTTTTTCACTTTCTTTTTTTACAGTTTGGTTGAAGGGACCGATTCACAGCATCAGCAAGTCATGCCACAGACAGTTCTTCTGAAGACCTTTTGGCTCGGAAGCGAAACCTCAGTGCTTTTTACCAAACACATAAATATTCTAGCAGATTGGGTCATACTTTCCCATAGAGAATTGAACAGAAAAAATGATGTGAGTATGAATTTGATACTTTAAAATAATGAAGACCGACATATTTTTTTAAAGGCGTTCCTTTGTTCATTCCTTTGTGAGGAATTACATGTAAGTATCACAGCTGCTTGTTATAGCTGCCTTTTGTTGTGAAGCATGCTGGTTTTTGCTCCACTAAAGGAAATGAATTGATCCATAAGATTCTCATATTGATCTGTAGAGAAGAAACGAGTCATGAGTAGCTTGTTGGCTACATTCAGATGTTCACATGCCCTTACCAGCAGGTATTACTGTAGTCATTAGGGACGCCAGCTTAACACATCCTGTCAAACAATAAGGTGTAACGAAAGAGGTCATTATCTTACTTTACAGTAATTGTATTCAGGAAATGTTGGAAGGAGAAAGCTAACAAAACTAGTAGTTTTTTGCTGTTTTCTACAGATATGCATTATTTTATTTTAATAAATGCCCCAGTTTTCTTCCCAAGTCCTTTAGTTTCATTTGGTATCTTCCCTAGGTCTTTTCATAAAAATGGAATTGAAGGCAACTTAATTGCTGTTCTGTGACCTGCTGACCAGCAGGACATTGACCTGAAAGATACTGAGTGTCCTCTATACCACCTCTTTCTTTTCAGAAGCTAGAGGCCTTGTAAAACATCTTTGACTTCTAGATTCTCACATAAAATACAAACTTACTGCTGTCTGTGCGTTCTCTTTTAAATTATTGTGAAAGCACAGAATAAATACGTACTTCATTCACTTTTTCAATACAATAACAGAACAACAATAGAAAATCAAATATTCCGGAGAAAAAAGCACTTTCAATAGAATACCTAGTAGTTCTTCATTATGTTAAGAAAGCAGAAAGATTAAACATAATGAGAGCTTCACTCATCTTACCTAGCCAGACCTCCTACCTTTTTTGAGGGCTATCAAAGCAAGACATTCTGAAACAGTGCTGCCTTTTATCCTTGGTCAAGATATTTAAAAAGTGCCTAAAATTAGGCTTCTATGCCCATATTTATATTTAAACAACCTACCTTTTCAAAGGTACTGAGCACCAAGCAGACTTGCATTCAGTTGGTGTCAGTGGCCATTCAGTTTCTTTGGAAAATGAGACTGCTTTCATATGTTTCCTGGTGTTGAATCTGCAGTTTAAGTGTAGGCACCATTTTCCTTTTTCTACTGTGCCTTCTTTTGACAAGTTCCAGCACTGTAAGCCATACCTTTTTCATAAACCATTCTTTGCATAAGCAGAATAATCACTTTATGTCAGATAGAGTGTAGTACCTATATAAAAAATAAACTTAAAAGAAAGAATAAAACATAACGTAAAACATGGAGACCTACCTCTTGTTTAGATTCTATTTTCTTTATGTACATCTATATAAGAATTGTACTTTCAGCACAAAACTCAGATGCCTATTGCTTTCCCACTTTGATCTTATGCACTGTAATGTACAATATCCCTGCAGATATGAACTCTAGCCTTAAAAAGCAGCTTGTTGCCTCATAACATCTGTAGTGTTATATGTTCTTTCTTACAGCCTTATTCTTTAACTTCATATTTATATATTGCATTTTCTTTCCCTTTGGATTTTATGGCAAAAATAAACTCTAAACCAAAATACCATGTTTTTACATTCAAAACTTGTCATTGTCCCTTTCTGCACTCTCAATTTTGTTATACTAAAACTCAATATACTGATTTTTCCATATATGCAGAGACTCCATTTCAAATTCCATGGCATAGCTGAACAGGTTATTCAGAAAACCAGAGGAGCAGATCCTCCCCAGCTATGAAGGCAGAACTGTGTTTTCTTTTTTCCTTCTTTTTTTATTATTTCAGAGATGCATAAATAAACCCACACTATTTCCATGTCATTAAATGTAGCATATTGGGTGCAAAATTTTCCTTCCTGTCTTCAGTTGAAGAGTGTGAGTCATTGTTACCAGTTTTGTTTTTTAAAAGCTATTTGCTTAAGAGGCAACACGTTGACAAGAAACACGTTAAGGCCATTCAGAAACCTGAATGAAAGGCATGACTTTAGGTATTCTTACTATATGCATGTGCACAGAAATTGTGTTTTATGGCACAGTGTAAATGGGTGACCATGTTTCCCAGCTTACACAAGTGTGTTAGCTCGTGGGAAGAAACAAACATGCCCGTTGTGATACACTGGACTTCCGTGCAGTTCTCTAGTGCAAGTATCTGTAAATAAAAACAGATTAATAATTTAATTAAATTAATGTTTTGGGCATATCTAACACATCAATGATCTGGATGAGGGGATTGAGTGCACCCTCAGTA